CCCTTTATTGAACTTAATGACATCTGTGGACTTGTCATAAACTGCTTTGAGTAAAGCAGGGATGTATCCCTTTGCAGTGTGAGAAAGCCCCCAAAGCTCTGAGTTTACCTCCACATCAGGAATAACTGAATGAGGCCCAGGGCCCAGGGTTCAATCCCCTGGCCTGCCTTGCTGGCCCCACCTCCGGGGCCCTGCTGAGATGGCAGTTGAGACTGGGCGTGGTGGCACATGCTTATAATCTCAGCACTTGAAACACTGTAAACAGGAGAATCACTATGAGTCTGATCTAGTAGTGAGACCCTGAACACCCTGTAGGCCCTTCCTAAAATACAGGAAAAACAAAACAATAATAACTGAATGATTTTTAGCTTTAAAATGTGTTGTGTCATTTGAACTTTTTTTTTTTTTTTTTTTTTTTGGCAGAACCAGGGATTGAACTCAGGCCCTTTCGGTTGCCAGGCAAGCGCTTATTGTACTGAGCCATCTCCCTGGCCCTGAATTAAGTTTTGACTTTGGCGTTGGAGAGGAATTGTTTAATATATACATTGTTACTTTTTAACTTAATAGCTAAACATTCTAAAATGTGTATTTTATACCGGTAAGTTTTAACCAGTCAGGAAAATTTTAAGTTTTAACCAGTCAGGAAAATTTTATGTAACCAATGATAGTTACTTTTTTTTTGTTTTAATGAATGTACTGCCTCAAGTTCATTACAATGTTTAATGGCACCCTTGCCAAGATATTTAGTATGCAAAAAGCAGATTTTGAGTTTTTGTTTTTAAACAGCTTTATAATGAAGTAGAGACTTATAAGTTGCATGGCAGGCCTGGTATGATGTATCTTGTTATATAAAGCTATTGCCAGAATCTTAGTAAATACAGTGTTACATAGTGTGATGTCTCTGCATTCATAACAAATTATAACAAGTTAAATTTACTGCTCTTCTTGTGTCATAGTTTACTGAGATCTTGTGCCTCATATCTTAATTACTCAGAATGTTAAAAGGAGTTGATTAATCATTTTCGTTTTGCATTTTTGTATAATCAGGTAATATGAAAATATAACTTGATGTACAATTTTGCCTGTTACAGAGGGTATGCTAATTATAGTTGTATAGGCATACAATATTTTGGCATGACAAGAACCTAAATAGCTATTTTACTTTTGAAAAAAGAATCATACTTGTATATGATATATGTGCTGTATTTTTCCTTCTAGTCCAAATATATGCATGTGAAAATACATTGTTTTTTTTTTTTTTTTTTTTTTTTTTTTTTTGTGGTACCAAGGATTGAACTCAGGACTTTGTGCTTGCCAGGCAAGCGTTTATTTTACTGAGCCATCTACCTGGTCCCTGAAAATACATATTGACAGCTACTATTTCTTTCTATAGTAATGGGAGGATGGAGATCTTTGTTCTACTTTTAATTGTCTACTATTGTCTCATTACTTTGTTTTTTAAATGTTTCATAAGAATTGAATTTTAGGTCAGTGGCATAAGCACCTGCCTGGAAAGCACAAGGTTCTGAGTTTGATCCCCGGTTAATCACTTCTCATAGGAGAGATTGTTGTTGTGCAAATTCATTTTCTGAAACTTTTTATTGAACTAAAATGTTAATGGGTCTGTGGTGACAGCTCATTGTGGTTTTACTTTGCATTTCCTGGCTGTCTTAATTTGTTGTACATCTTTTGATAGAGTTTTGGCTGTGTTATATCCCCGGGCCTGCTGTGCCGGCCCCACCCTCGGGACACTCTGAGATGGCAATTGAGATGGCATGGTGTTGCACTCCTGTAATCCCAGCACTTGGGAGGCTGTAAACAGGAGAATCATTATGAGTACATTGTGTTAAAAGGTTTGAGATCCTCTGCCCAGTATAAAGAGAATGTTCAGCTCTTTTGTCTTTATTTTAAAGTTGGGTTTGACTTTTGTTTATTTTTTTTTTGCAGTACCAGGGATCGGACTCAGGGCGTTGTGCTTGCCAGGCAAGCGCTTACTCTACTGAGCCATCTCCCTGGCCCTGGGTTTGACCTATTTGTTAAAATAAATATGTTGAAAAAATTTTTTGTTTTTAAGGAGAATTTTAGCTTTTTAAAGTAGTCTAGTTTAGCCAGGTATTGTGGTACATGCCTGTGATACCAGCACTTGGAAAGCTGAGGCAGGAGGGTTGCTGCAAGTTTGAGGTCGGCTTGGGATACAAAGGGAGCTCAAGACCACTGAACTACATTGTGAAACCCATCTCAAAAAGACCAAAAAACCTATTCAGATTCATACCAGATACTGTTTTTTTTGGTCTTCTGGTGGATAGTCCTCTACTTTGAATGAATGTACCTGTTCTTTTTCAGGCTCATCCATAAGGCCACGCCAAAGCCTGGCTGAAGAAATTTTATCAGATGTTCCTCTACCCCATGGCCAGAGTTTTAGTTTTTAAGTCTGTGATCAATGGAGGATTATTCCTCTTACGTTGTGTTATAAGGATTGAGATCCTCTGCCCAGTATAAATATTCATCTGTTAGACCGTTTCCTTTCATTGGAGTTACCTTGGATCTTTGTAAAAAAAAAAAAAAAAACAACAGATGAATATAGTAAACATGTGTCTCTTTTGGCGTGCATTCTGATCCATTGACCTGCTTTGTCTACTCTGGTGGCACACTTTACTTACTGTACTCAGGGAGTTTTGGAAAAGTGCTAGCAAATGTTTTGTTGAGTAAAGCGTTTTCCATCCATCCTCTGGAATTTGTGCTTTATGTTTAGTGGCAGAGTAAAAGTTTTGGAAAATAATTTTCTGTGAATAATTTTAACTTCTTAATTTGACAGATTGAAGTATATTTTTATTTTTTGTATTTTAGGGAAGGGTGTTTAGGGTCTCACTACTAGATCGGACTCATTGTGATTCTCCTGTTTACGGCCTCCCAAATTCTGGGATTATAGGTGCGTGCCACCATGCCCAGTCTCAATTGCTGTCTCAGGGTGTCCCGGGGGTGGGGCCAGCACGGCAGGCCTGGGGATCAAACCCCCGGCCCCTGCTTTAATCCGCTGAGCTATTTTGCTGGCCCCTGACTGAAGTATATTGAAGATGTTGTTTGAGATGAATGTCAAAAGGGAAGTTCATGTTGGTATTGACTAGAACTTAAGATTCCAATATTCAAAATGGTTGCTACGCACAATGTAACTAGCTGAATGTGTGGATTCCTATTGCTGGTACTTTGTACTGCAAGAGTTTACTTAATAAGATTTAAAATTGTGGTAAAAAAGCGTAATTTTTATTCATTTTGTGACCCAGGTCTTTAGAGCCTTTCCATCTTGCAAAACTGTAGCACTGACAATACCTGCAAGCAGGCGCAGGGGCCGGGGATTCGATCCCTGAGCCCATCTTGGTGGCCCCGCACCCAGGGCGTGCTGAGCTGGAGATTGAGACTGGGCATGGTGGCGCACACCTGTAATCTCAGCTCTCGGGAAGTGAATATAGGAGGCTCACTGTGAGTCCGATTTACTAGTGAGACCCTGAACACCCTGTAGACCCTTCCCTAAAATACCAAACGAAACAAAACAAAAAAACTGGTAACAGTGTATCAGTTAACCTCTCCCCATAATGACCATTTTACTTTTAGCCTCTGTAAATTTGACTGCTGAGACTTTAAGTGTTTTGTGCAGGTTGAATCAAACAATATTATCATTGCTTTATGTATGACTCTATTCACTTTATGACTATATTCACTTTATCTGTTCAAGATCTGTCCCTGTCGTAGAATGTGACAAAATTTTGTTTTCTGAGTAATACTCCATTGTACTTGTATGCCATATTTTGTTCATCCGTTCACCTCTGGATGAACATTTGGTTTCTACTTCGCTATTGTGGATAACATGGCTATGAACATCGGTGTACAGACCTATGGTTTGATTGGCAAATATAACAATTTATAAATAAAATTTTTATAAGAATTTATTACAGAAAAAAAATCACATTGCCATTAACCCTCCTCCCCAAATACTTCCCCTTGAGAGGGTAGCTGTACTATTACGGTTGCCTCAGTGTTCTGAATTAATTCAGAATACTTGCCTTTCATGGTCATTTGACTTTGGGGATAAGCCACGAGTCTCAAGGTGCCAGACTTGGTGAATAAAGGTGGATGAGTACATAATCTAATGTTTTTATGAGCCTGCCTTTCCCTTGACAGCATCCTTGGCAGCAGCATTCACTGTATTACATATCTCATCATGAAAGAGGGCAATTAGAGCTGCTTCATAAAATGGCAAGAACGATGTGTCTTTGAATCAATTGGAATAATTTTAACCGTATATATATCTTAATCATTCGTGTATCTTTTGGAGAACCTGCTGTCAATTCCTTTGGATATACATTCAGCCATGTACTGAATAATATTTCATTCAGTGATGGACCACATATATATAGAGGTGGTCCCATAAGATACATTGCCTAAGTACAGTGAAGCTGTTCTCTGATATTCACACAATGACAGAGTTGCCTGATGCCATATTTCTTTTTTTTTTTTCCTACAGTTTTATTGATAAACATATAGCAATGAGACAGTTTCAAATCAAATCGGAAGTACAGTTTCAACAAATAATACACTGCATATATTCTTCTTAGTGGTTAATTGCTGTACAAGAGACATTTCTTCAAATATATTGTCACTATATTGACTGTATACTCCAAAGTGAGGTTGCTGATCATGTTATAGTTCTATTTTTAATTTTTGAGGAATCCCCATGATTGTTTTCCATAGGAACTGTGGTATTTTACTGATGCTTTTAAAATTTAACAATCACTGGAAATGGGACCAATGCTTTATTTTCTTCTGCCTTTTCAGAATTTTTTTCAGTAGTGATTTTGTTAACAGTTTTGATACTAAGAAAAGTCATTTTCATGATTAAAAGTTGAATTCCTTTACAGCAAATTGTTAATACAAATGTAGGTGCTATTGACAAAAGCATCACTGTTGAAAGGAATACCTTTATGTTTTTGTTTTTTTTTCTGCAGATTGGGAAAATGAGATATGTCAGCGTTCGGGACTTTAAAGGGAAAGTTCTAATTGATATTAGAGAATATTGGATGGACCCAGAAGGTGAAATGAAACCAGGAAGAAAAGGTAAGGCTTCATTTCTTCAGTTTGGTTCTAAAGTTAAAGCTGTATTAAAACATTTGTAAGTAGCCCACCACACTTGAAGTTGAAATAAATATTGGTCGGGCAAGAATTCTTACAATAGTTGCTAGTCAGTTGATTTTTATAATCATTTCAGGCAAGATACTTAATCTTTTTCTAGTGAAAAATCCTAAATTCATCTGTTGGGAATAAAACAGAAAAATAACATTTCTAAAACCACTTTAATTAATTGCTATTTTATTTGAATGTGATTTTAATATTTCAGCATTTCTGAAGTGTAAAATTAGGAACGGAAAACTCCTAGTTTGTGGTGCCTTGCTTTTATTCAGTCCTGAGGGATATTCTCTAGGATAGCATCCTTCATTTGGTCTTCTTCAAATCCCACGCCTGTTAGTGTAGAATCATTTTATTTAGCCACCAACCAAATAGCCAAAGGACATGCATTTGTTGAACTAACTGAAATTATAATAGATACTTGCTCTAAGTTGATTTTGCTGATGAAAAAAAGTGCTGCTTTACTTACTCCTGTAGTACTGCTCTGCCTGCCTATCAGTTTTAAAGGTCCCACCTGTTTGCTTCGTGCAGTTTTAGTGTTTATTAAAGACAGCCTCTATATGTTTTCATGTCTTTTAATTTTTTTGTCTTTGTCATTTTGGGATTATTCATTTGAGTTATTCCAGACTGACTAGCACCAGATTTTGTTCCTGGAAACATTTATTGAAATAATTTAATTAGCTTTAAAATGCTTCCTTAGTATTGTCCTAATATATTCTCCTTTTTTTCAATTTCATTGCCTCTTAGCAGTTTTCTGAGAAATATGTGAGTTCAAGTAGTTAATTTACTTACATGTTAGGTCATAATGCTAAATTTTGTATTCATCTAACCTTATTTAATAATTTACAATGACCCATAGTGTGTAAGCATTACTTTACTGGTGAGCAGCCCGAGGTTTAGAAGGTGATGTAATCTTTTTTTTTAAGGCCACACAGTTGATAGTGAAGGCTGGTCTTTGAACCTGCAGCATGGCTCCAGAATGTACTTTGATGCATACATATATATTCATTCACTCTAGAAGTCTTCTGTGAGTCATGTCCTGGAGCGTTTTACAAAGTGAAATGGATGTTTTTGGAAGGATTCAGCACAGTCATTCACTCTGAATTCCTGTTGGAATTTGGGGCTGTTAGAATCAATTGGATGTAGCGAGGGTGTCACTTTTTGAATCTGGGTTTGCCTATTTAGCAGCAACTTGCAGGTGTGCATCAAATCGTCATTTGCCCTCATTGTGATCAGTGTGCAGGAGCCACTGTGGGAAGTCAGATTTTGTACTAGCTTGATGTGATCAGGAAATGAGGGCTCTGAAATTAATAGTTGTTAAGGTGTGACTCTTTAATTTTGCCCTTGAAAATGGCAATTTTGGGGTTGATGATGTAGCTCAGAGATAGAGTAGGTGCTTTGCATGCCTGAAGCTCCAAGTTTGATCCCTAGTGCTGCAGAATATCCCACAAAGAACAAAATGGCAATTTTTCTAAAGCATTAGTTGGGATTATGAAAATTCTCAAGAAATCTTGAATAGATTTTTCAGCTTTAAATGTTTAAATTTCATTTTAGGTATTTCTTTAAATCCAGAGCAGTGGAGCCAGCTGAAGGAGCAGATTTCTGACATTGATGATGCAGTAAGAAAACTGTAGAATCTGAACCATAAAACCTGTACTGTTGTAGTTGTTTTACTCTGTCTTTTTACATTGGCTTTTGTTTTCTAAATGTTGTTTTCCAAGCTGTTGTATATTTGGATTGCAGAACAATTTGTAAGATGAATACTTTTTTTTAATGTGCATTATTAAAAATGTTCTGAGTGAAGCTAATTGTCAACTTTATTAAGGAGGATCGCTTATGTGCCCACCACCTAGTGTAAAATAAAATCAAGTAATTCCACTCATTTAACTGTTGTGACCTTTTTTGATCAAAGACTAGGTACTGTTTAAGGCCCAAAGTAACAATTTTATAGGCATACTAGTTTTAACTCAGCTTTTAAAAGAGGATTTGTGTTACATTGAGATTTTAAACTTTTGATTTGTGAAATCTATACTTGATCTCTTCCTTCGAGATGTGTAAATTTGACTTTTCCACCTCAACATTTAACTTGTTTTTCTTTTTATAACAATCTCCTCCTGTTCAATTTTCATTTTACCCTATGTTTTTCTTAAATATATTACACTAATTTGGAAAGTTAATTGAAACTATCAAAATGTTATCTTAGTAAGGTACTTTAAATTATGTAAGAACTGCAGTCACTAACTCTACTGTATTAAATATTATTAGCAGGTATAGTTAATGTCTTGTATGAAAACTCTGAGCAAGTGTATTTCATTCTCCACAGTGTTTTGTGTAGTTACCTTGTTGCTTAATCTGCAGAAAATGAGGACTTCAATGTCTGAATAGCTTTCACTCAGTAAACATGCTTACCATGTGCTGATGTCAATAAAATCAGATATTGTTAGACTAGAATTTAATAAACATTGTGAAAGCTCACTGGCCTAACATTTTATTTTACATTATTGAATATGGGTTTTATATAGCTAGAAACATTGTTGAGCTTTACTCTCATAGTGGGTAATATGGCCAAGTTTTAGGGGTAAGAGCATCGTTCTTTCGGCCTTTAATTCAGTAGAGTTGGTTGTTTTACAGCTAATCTACTGGACAATGGCTTTTTAGACTTGATGTTATTTAGTTTTAGTACACTTCAAATGGTTTTCATTTTTACCATAATGATGAAATCGGTTGTTTGAGTTACAGGCTATAGGGGCTTTGCAGCAATAAATAGGGCATGGTGTGTGCCTTATGAAAAGGGAAGTAACTCACAGTGAAGTTAAGGAGGGTGTTCTGTGAAGAGGAAACAGTTTTCTTCAAACTAAATGATATACATAGGTTATTTTGAGATTTTGATCACACCGATGGGATATAATTAGAGGTAGGAGAGTAATAAATGTTTAAAGACATATAAAAAGATTATTTACAAATCTCAATATTATGGTAGCAAACCTCAAATGATCACTGCTATCAAGGGATGCTATATCAGAGAATTGCATTATTCTATTACCAAGGTTGATTACTATATTTAAAACAGTTTGTAGTAGAGTTGTGAAGCACTTAATTTTGTGGGGGAGGGTATTGGGAATTAAACTCAGGACCTTGCACTTACCAGCTAAGTGCTGTGCCGCTGAGCTGTTTATCCTTAGTCTAAGAACTTAATTTTTAAAACTGGCTACCAAGCCACTTGTACAGGACGTGATCTTTTTTTTTTTTAACCATTCATGATGGCTATTCTGTTGCATTTTAGATTTTTTAGGTGAATTTTAGTGTATTTTGCAGTAACCCTAAACAGGCAGCCACTCTTCTGATAGCTTATTTATCATCAAATTGTCAATACTAGTATTCAAAAAACTGTGTGTATTTCATGGATATACCTTCTTTATTTGGGAACACAGATATCCTGTTAATTAGATATGTTTGTAAGTACTATTTGGCACACAGAAAGGGTAATAAGGACACAGAACTTTGATTTCAGTATAGCAGAAGAGGATGGATAAATTTCTTAGATTAATATGAATTTTGAGATGTATGCATTTTGAAATTGCCTATGCAGAGATGGTGCTGCAATTTATTACCTTGGCATTTACTATTGGATTAGCCTAATAAACTTCATATAAAGAGTATTTTCTGTAGCAGTTTTTGGCAAAATGACTGTCAAATTCATTTTATTATGTTACTAGATATATACTGAAATATTTAATCTTTGTGAACTTACATGGAAAGACAAAAACTGGTTTAAAAGAAAGGAAACTAACTTTACTGGAAAAAAAAAAGTTCATTCATTTCTGTTTAAACTTTATCTCCTTAGTTAGATTTCTCCCAGGAAGAAATTTAATTGATGGCAGTACTCAGGTTTTGCCCTTTAATACACTAATAGCAGGACTTTTTACTGGGATTTTCCTCTTTTTCTCTAAAATATAAGTAGTATTTGACCAACTTCCAGGGTTCTTGGCATTTTATTCAAAGAACCCTGAAAAAGACTTTATAAATGCCTAAGAACCTCATTTGAAGAATACTCCTACCCCTTATCTAGTCAGGATGCTGTGATCAATCGAGTCTGCATAATATGCATAGAAACAAAGGTGGGTGAAAAATGAGAGTACATCCAGGCTTGTCTACTGAGGGAGAGAAAGAATATTAATTATGGAAGTGTTGCTGACATGTATTAGTAGAATACTATAAAAGTCTGAAATTAAAAAAACAACAACTGGTAATTAATATTTAGGTATATTTCCTGAAATTCTTTGTGGTTCACTTTTTATGGAAATGAGTACAGTGTAACCCTCCCAAGTTTTTTTTCTTAAAGGTGTTCTTCCCATATAAACTGTAGTGTAAACATTCACATAATCACAAATATGTAATTCTGTAATTGTGGAATGCTTATATGTTTTGTTTGGTACATCTTCCATGGAGATGTCAATGAATATAATACTCCACCTGTGAATATTTCAAATGTTGAAATAAAAATAAGAAATGTACCCTTTGTGTTAATCCCAGCTTCACAAATGTGAAACAAATGAATAGTTTATCTGTTGAATGGGTTTTGTTAACAAATAGAATGCCTTTTTGTGTGAATGCTCTGGACTCTGTTGCAGTAACCTTTGGATGTTAAATCTATTGAAGATCTCTGGGACAGGGTGGTGTGGGCCTGTACCTGATCAAATGAAAAAAATCTAAATACCAAGGTGTGCACCTTTTTTTTATTTTATTTTATTTTATTCACTAAGTGTTTTTGCAATCTGGTTCTTTGTATACTGCATTTCTTCGACTATTTCAAACTTAAATTTTCATTTATAAAGTATTTTTTTCTTGTAAATCAATATTTTTACCTAGTTATGTGAGAAGATCACATTTAAATTGCTGTTTAGGAGCTTATACCAGTAAAAAAAATCCGTGGAATAACGATTTAAAACTTCTTTATTCTGCTTTCAGCTATAAATTGATTTTAATGCAGCATACAGACTCAAAAATCCAATCAGAAGAGTGAATTTATATAGTATAGCATTTATGTAGTAGGAATCAAAGAAATTACATGGTTACAGAAGGGATTTCAAAAGCATGAAATAGAGAAAGAATTTCATGGAATTACTTACTGTATAACAGGCTGTCTATGTTGTGCACTTTTCCCCTTACTTGCTTTACATAGGTTCCTTACAAAGGTTAGACTTTCGAGTCCTACTTTCATAGCCATTTTAGTTCAGGTTTAATGTGACTCACTGAAACTATGTGAAAAAATAATCTCTTGTTTCACACTTAGGCTCCTGATAGTTTAAATGGCTTCTACTTATGCTGGAAAACTTCCTCTACTTAGATGATGGTTTATGCCATTTTTCTCTAGGTCTGCTGAAAAAACACCCAGAATTTCAACCAGTTGGATAATTAGAACCTCCCTTAGTTACAAAAAGACAGAGTGTTCCTCTTACTGATATAGGGAAAGAAACTGCCAACCTGAAAGATTCCTGGGACTAGTTCTTAACTAAAACTGAGAAATGAATTTTAGATTAAGAGCAGAGTATGTTGGGCCGGGGAGATGGCTCAGTGGAATAAGCACATCCCTGGCAAGCGCAAGGGCCTGAGTTCAATCCCCGGTCCCCCCCCCCCAAAAAAAAAAAAAAAAAAAGAAAAGCAGAGTATGTTCATTGGAGGAAAGAAAGCTGCTGAGAGAGAGGGAGAGACAGGAGGGCACCTGAGTGGGTTGCAAGGAACCTGCCGTTTCTTGGAATTTTTATAAAGCAAACCAATGAGGTGAGGCAAGTCTGAGGTGGGAAACATGAGAACTGGCAAGGTGGACATGAAATGGGACAAAACTGGTCAGCCAGAAAGATTACAAGCAGAATTGTTCAGGTAAAATCGATTAACTCTGGATCAAATGTGGAAGCGAGTCACATAGCAAGGGGACCTGAATACAGAATAGGGCTTTTCTTGTAGAGGTTGGGTTAGTGGTTTTTCCTGCCCTTTTCCAGGAGATTGATACCTATTTATTTATTTATTTATTTAATTTATTTGTGTGTGTGGCCAGCTCAGCCCACCAGGGGGCGGGGCTGGCTGGCATGTGGTGCTGGGGGATTGAACCGCGGTCCCTTTGCTTTGCTAAACTTGTTTTAAGTAGGTTCTTTAGACGACTGAGCCATCTCACCAGCCCAGATACCTATTTAGACTATCATTTCCCAATTTCCATTCCTAGGGAGGTATGTAGGTGCATTTGTTTGCTTTTTGGTCCTGAGGTCTGCCTCACAGGAAGAGCTCCTACAGTTGCATGCTTCCGTACTGGCTCCTTGACCTAGACCTGTCTGACTGCCAATAATTTATCTAACTCAGCTACCTATAATGTCACCCAAGCCCAGAACTCAGCTATAGTTGTATGTGTAGTAATTAATGTATCATGGAAAGTGATGTGAAGTTATAGTTTTTATCCTTCTAGACTGCTTGAGTTTTATTTTCAAAGTATGCAGATTGCTGCCAGAATGTTGGGACTCCTGAATATCTGGTTTTTTTTTTTTTTTTTTTGGTCTTTTTTAACACAGGATCTCACTATGTAGTTCGGGCTGGTCTTGAACTTGCAAAGATCCTCCCACCTCAGCATCCCTAGTGCTGGGATTTCAGATATGCACCACCATGCCTGGCTTTAATATCTGTACAATGAGAAATCTCATTCAAATTTTGTCAGTCTCTTACAGCTAAATTTCTAACCCAGGATCATGTATATCTTACTAGATTTTGTTCCTTTATCTCCTTCATTCTGGTGACTCCTAGGTTTTTTTTTTTTTTTAAAACAATCCTGTCATTTCTAATGACATGGTAAAATGAAAGCACCACTAATATTTGAAAGAACTAAGAACAGAGGCCAGATCAGTGAGGAGAACTTGTTTGAGTAGCGAAGGATCACAGTGGCTGCAGATGGATGTGTAATTGGGTGGTGTGACTGCACAGTGCAGGTACAAGTGAGGTGCAGTCACCTTCCTGCATACTTAACAGTGGTGGCAGCTGTGATTTTAGTTTGTACTTTTTTTCCTCCTGGGGACTTCTTCCCCTTATCTGAAATACAAATACATTTACAACCTGTTCAGATTTTTTTTTTTAAACATTTACTTGAGCGACAGTATGGCAGTAATTGGTATGACGTGACAAGCAGTACGTATTTGGAAGACCAGAATGACAGGCATTCCAAGCATGACCCTAGTATTACACATTGCTATCTTCAGTGCAGTTGCTTAGTTCACAAATATCAGCATATATAGCTGGTGAGGGTGAGAATCCTACCAATTAACTGCTAGATTCAAAAACCTGCTGAAGATTCTCAGGATCATTGTCTTAACCATCTTGTGCATATGAATGTATGTTTTTGCCCCATCATGTTTCCTGTCTTTTCTCCTTGCCTTCTCTTCATTGTCTAATCCTTAAGTTCTTGGTTTCCTTTTTTTTTTTTTTT